TTTTTTTGCACTAGAGTCTACAGGTGCAGTTCCTTCTACATCTAATATGACTCCCATTGTGACCACGACTTCAACTAGTAGTTCTACCTCACTTCAATCGGCCAGAACACAAGTGGATTCTGCCAATGAATCAAATGAAACAAAGGTGTGAAGTCCTCTTGAAATTGCGTTTAGAAAGAAAGTTATTTGACACATAACATGGTTAAAAAATTAAGCAGTGGAATTCTGTTTGCTCTGTAGATTAAAGCTCGAGGGATGATTCTTCAACAGCTTGTTGAGTTGAAGAACCTTAAAGATGCCAATGTACTTACCAATGATGAGTTTGAGGAACAGAAGAAGAAGATGTTAGAAGATCTCAAGAAACTTTAATTATTATTTGACAATAATGTAAAATGTTTTATGGTTGTTTTGTTTGTTACTGAGTATCATTTACATGCTTATTTGTCATTTGCAAATAAGTACACGGAGGGCTTTACAAGTAATCTGTAAGTCTTAGATAGTTTCTAATGTCTGCATCAGAGATTTGCATGAAGGCTTCAAACACCATTTCCTCTGGATCATCACGACACACTTGCCACACAACATCATTTCCTCGAATCCAACTCTTTGCTTGAGAGAAAACGTTCTCACATKGATTGAAGTCARGACTGTAAGATGGCAAGAATACCACAAGAGCGCCACTAGCATTTATAGCTTGAACTACACGACGACAGCGGTGAATTTTAGCATTATCTGTAAAAATATAATGCAATTTCTCTTCATTAATTTAGTGTGTTGCAAYAAAATACTAACAAAATCTGATGTGACGTGAGTGCTCACCCATTACGACCACAGAGCGAGGATTAATCCCATCAAACGGCTGTAGATTAGGAATAAGGTTTTCATTCACAAATTCAAGAAATTTCTCTTCATTGGTATTCCCGCGGCGGATACTCAAGTCTATTATTCCTTCCGTGCAGATGACAGGGATAGCAGTAATCCTGGGACCCCAATTGCCATACCATCTTTGTGTTTGAGCTCGATAGCCTCGAAAACTGTATCCAAAGCGTCTCGAAATTCGTTTATCCTGTAATGCAGAAACATTTGTTATAACCCCAGTGCGGAGATCAGTTAAAAAGGTATAACAAAATGAGTTTCTGAAAAGAGAACTTACAAATCCACTCTCGTCAAGGAACACAAACATCGCAGGATTGAATTGTGATACCACAGACCAATAGTTTATTCAATCTTCTTCGCATCTTTGATAAGGAATTCTTTTGAGCTATAAACACCGAAAGTGAAATGTGTTGAATGAAAAATTGCAGCAATTTTCGAATACAATTAACATTCATGATTACAGATTTCTCATCGGCTTACAAGAATGCATTTAACGCTTAATATTACCATTTTGCGTGTGATGCCATTTCTTCTAAAATAGTCGTGTAAAGTAGAAACAGGAAGCCTGGCACCACATACTACTTCAACGTGTCTACAGAGCTCAGATAGAGTTTTTTTCTGGGTGTCCTAACAATTCTTGCATCAAAACGGCTTGTTCTTGTTGCGATAGCGAACACAAACCAGCAGGTCTTCCTGGTTTGTCAGCACAAACATTTCGTCTCTCGTAATATCGTCGGGCGAAACGTAACACGGACCTTGAAGACATGCCAAGGCGAACAGCAATGTCACCTTTACTGTGGTTTAAGCCATATAGCAGTACGCTTCTCATCCGCAAATCGTCACTTAATGCTCGCGGCATGATTGCTTTGACCCATGTGTTGGTGTGCACGTGGTCAAATATAAACTATCCCATGACTCCCCGCGCCACTAGTTTATACGCTTTTCGCTTCACGGGTGACAAAGTTTCTCGGAAGGGGTATACATCTTTGTAAAATCACCCATGCAGATATTTGCGTAGACTATTCATGCCCGCAATATTCTGTATTCATGTAGCAAAAATGTCTGAAGTTGAAATAAACATACTTGATAGTATAAGCTTGTTAGACCTACAGAAATCTGTACTTTTAGGCACGGCACGCATCTTAAGAAGAGTACTTCAGCTCTCAGGAGCCGGGTAGAATCTCGAGCTGAAGGTTAATGTATACCAGCAAAAGAGTTGTAATATTATTATTTTGCTGTGTAATAAAGGAATAATAACAATTATTATTATTATTATTATTATTATCATTATTATTTTACAAATATGTTTTCATCGATAAATAAGGAATTTTTTTACATGTATTTGTTATTTTATGTTCATAATCTCTTTTT